ATCCCCCCCCCCCCCCCCCCGCATCTGATATTTTTTTTTACAAGTTCAAAAGCATACTTGTGATAAGCTTAAGAATTGGCGCGAGTTTCACGATGTTAGACATTACTTTACGAATTTACGATCTCAAAATTGTTGACTTATTATATATGGAAAATATCCAATGAGAATTACTATGGTCATTTCAGATTGGGACAAAAAATTTAAAGGTTTATATCCCTTAATGTCTGAAACTTAATCTAAAAATACATTTTTTGAGAGTTCCACACCGTCGTTAACAGCGGATTAAAATGAAGTATAGTCAAGGCGCTGTAGCTAGTGTACATTTTTACCAAGGGAAAATAACCTTCCTTCGACAGCATCGACAATAAGGAAAAAGGGTTCGAATTAGACTTCTGCAATGAAGATTTATATGGTGATATTTTTATGTTTATCATCGGGATTTCTTCCAACAGGTTTGTATGATAAAATGTATCAAGGAAAGGGGTAGAATGAGGGAAAAGAAAGAGAAAGGGGGAAAGAAATAAAATATTAAAATGGTCCAGGGGGAATGCAATAGAAGAAAAGGGTGAGAGGGTAATTAAAGATGAAAAGGAAAAATGTGAAAAAATAAAAGGAAAGGAATGACAAAATATTGCGGAATGCGAAAGGGGAGAGGAACAGTTGCAATAGCCGAAACGAGAGGAAACCGGCAAGGGATTCAAAATTTAAAATTGTGTTTGTGTTTAGGTTTCGTAACCTTCTCGAATGTGGCGAACAGATGATCATGTAAACAGGAGCTACTGGTTAACCGTTATGCCTAATTCCTAACTATTCTTTCAGGATGGACTTATCTCAAATTTAACAGCGCTGAGAAGTTTAGCGATGCTGTAGAAGAATGTGATAATCGAGGTTTAGAATTATTAACAATGTCAACCTATCGTCAGTACCTAGATGCTCAGGAATATTTCCAAACCAATTCACCGTGAGTTTTGATTATTGACTGATCTATTCATAGATCCATCCACCTGTCTTTCCATCTATCGATAGATCGACCCTTCTCTCTATTCATCCATTGGCCATTCGTTCCATCTATCGGTAGATCCATCTATCGATCTATGTCCATGCCTATGACATAGGCATGCATTCCCTTCTATTATTTTCTCTCCCCTTGCCTTCCCTTGCCTTCCCTTGCCTCCCATCCCCTCCCATCTCATTACATCCACTTATACCTCCAACAAAGAGGTGAAAAGGTTTGATTCTTTTCAAGGGGTGTTTCATGGTTGGCGTTGGAAGAAAACACAACAACGGGCAACTATCAGTGGTTAAATGGACAAGTTTTAACAGAGTTGAAATGGGAATCAGGAGAACCTGTGGACTACACTGGAACTGATTGTGGTGCCATCGACGTGTACTCCAAGGAATGGCACTCAACTCTATGTACCAACAAAAGACATTACATTTGTGTCGGATCAGATGGATGTAAGCATTTATAGGGATGGCAATCAGTGGCGGTGACAGTCTACCGGGGGATTTGTCCCCCCCCCCTCCCTCAGCAAAAATGGTTTGCAACTACAATTGCACCCCACGGTATTTTAAACGTAAATAAGATGTGATTTTTTGTACCAAAATATGTGTCAAAATGGCTATTCAATTTTTCGAAAATTTTCTTAGGGGAACCATTTCGGACGTTACATGAGAGGCTTAAGACTATGCCTCCACTGCGTTGGCATTTTGAATTCAGCCTCGACAGTCACACACCCCCCCCCCCCCCCTCCCAATGAGCCTTCCCCCTATTTGCACTCCCAGTCTCGGGAGATTGGCGCCGCCATTACTATATAGGTCAACATCATGAGATACAACCAGATGATAATATATGCCGGAGGAGCTCAAGCTGAGCTATCAGAAGCATTCTTCTGAATATATGTTAGCTTCCCATTCCCTTGCAGTGGACGTACTTTACAGTTGGTTATTTCTTACAATCCCTTTTAAATCCCTTTACAGCATCTTCTATAAGCAGTATCAAAGTTAATTTCTACACAGCAGTTCTCAGCTGCCAATCTGAAGGCAGACGACTTCCGGTAGCCATTACTAATCTCGATAAAAACTGGTTAAATACTTTCATTCAAACGAACTCCTTGTAAGTAAATCTATCAATCTAGCTAAAATAAGATTTAAATTTCGTTTCTTTTTTGTTTTCTGATAATTTTCTATCCCAGCCTTATAATGCCGTGAGTTTAGTTTACCCTACTGGAAGGGAATTCTTTACAAACGAGTGGAAACGATGGTATGGCAGGAAGAATGGCCAAGGATATAGGTGTTGGATTATTTATACACCAACAGGGTATTGACCATCTGAGACACGTTAGTGTGGCTATTTTCAGGACGAAAGATATCTGGTTGGGCTTGATGGAATCTGGAACACAACCTGGTGATTACTATAAATGGGTAACAGGAGAACACCTTACACCACCTTTCACTTGGGCAGACTCCAACAGATTTCCCACAGTCCAATATCGTCACTCAGGTGTCAACAAAGGGTTTCAATGTTCTGCGTTGAACAAACAGAAATATGTTTGTCAATCTCCTGAAGCCACAGGTAATATATGAGAAGTGGGGAGGGGAACTTGGCCGACTCTCGAAAGCACTGACTGCGGAACCAAATATATTACGGAGGGGATTCAAATCAGTGTACCAGTTTCTTTGTGCTGTCTGGTCAAGATATTTGTCAAACGATCTTTCGTAAAAGTTCCATTAGCGCTTTAAGTAGATTTAGCTTTAAGCAAACTGCTTGGGAATCCGAATGGATATTTGTGTATCTAGGGATGAATAAAAAATACTGGTCCACTGAGATAATATAACTCAAGTTTATACTTCCATTTTATATTTCAGCTGTGGTCCGTAGTCTAGATAAGTTTGTGTTCGTGTCCAACAATGCAATTGTATTGGGTTCCATCAGAAAAACTACAACTATCAACTCTGTAAGAAGATTTCAGTGTGCTCTAGAGTGTCTACAAGATACTGGTTGTATACAGTATACTATTCAAGGTTATCTGTGTAGGACATTTGGTGAAAGTCTTGTCATCACCGACTATAGTCGAGGACACATGTTATGGCAGAGAAAAATTATATCGTAATTTACTGCTGGAACAATAACTGTATAACTTATATTAACTAGAATAGTTTTTGGGACTATTACGTCATCACCACTGCGTTCAGCACACAGGCAATCGGATTTACAAATGCCCCTAAACAGACGACCTGAGCTTGCAGAATTGCAGACACGAGAACAAGTAATTTTTGTCAAACTTCAGTAGGGGCACAGGCTGAAAGAAGTCAGTTCTCTTATCGTCTTAGCGTAACACTATAAGTAACAACATGTTTCAGGTTCAGTTTGATATTTCCATATCGTTCTGCAAATGTTGTAAGCAATATTTTAACAGTGGTATTTCTATATCACTCTACAATTGATGTATTGAGCACTATTTTAACAGTGGTATTTCTATATCGCTCTACAATTGATGTATTGAGCAGTATTTTAACAGTGGTATTTCTATATCACTCTACAATTGATATCTTGAGCACTATTTTAACAGTAGTATTTCTATATCGCTCTACAATTGATATATTAAGCACTATTTTAACAGTAGTATTTCTATATCACTCTACAATTGATGTATTGAGTAGTATTTTAACAGTAGTATTTCTATATCGCTCTACAATTGATGTATTGAGCACTATTTTAACAGTAGTATTTCTATATCACTCTACAATTGATGTATTGAACACTATTTTAACAGTAGTATTTCTATATCACTCTACAATTGATGTATTGAGTACTATTTTAACAGTAGTATTTCTATATCGCTCTACAATTGATGTATTGAGTACTATTTTAACAGTAGTATTTCTATATCGCTCTACAATTGATGTATTGAGTACTATTTTAACAGTAGTATTTCTATATATTTCTATATCACTCTACAATTGATGTATTGAGTACTATTTTAACAGTAGTATTTCTATATCGCTCTACAATTGATGTATTGAGTACTATTTTAACAGTAGTATTTCTATATCGCTCTACAATTGATGTATTGAGTACTACTTTAACAGTAGTATTTCTATATAGCTCTACAATTGATGTATTGAGAACTATTTTAACAGTGGTATTTCTATATCACTCTACAATTGATGTATTGAGCACTATTTTAACAGTAGTATTTCTATATCACTCTACAATTGATGTATTGAGAACTATTTTAACAGTGGTATTTCTATATTTCCATTTTAACAGTTAATATTTTGCTATTGCAAATTCCAGTAAATTCGACTATGTTATCAAATTAAAAAGATGTGTTTTGTACATGGATAAGGAGTGTTTTTACGTGTAATTGTGTTATCTTAGGCTGTGTAAATATTAGTTTTGATTGGGTATATACAGGTGGAAGCTCTTGAAACGTGAAATTAAAATTTCAAATAATGGAATTGTATTGGTTTAATCAAGGAACTATAGAAGTAAAGTTCTATGGTTTAAAGAATATATTGTATTATTGAGAATTATTTAATGAATTTGGTCGATTAAAGCATCATCATTGATCAAGTACGAGTGTGGAAGAAAACAATAAAACATTCAGAAAGGCTTTGCCGATTTAACACCAGGCATACACCCGTTGATTTCAGAGCAATTTTTAAACAAATAAACACTGATGCTGATAGGTTAAAGGGACAGTTTCGCCACCCGTTTGACCAATCATATCTTTGTCTCCGAGACGGGAAATGTTTTAGCTGTGCTAATCAGTAACAATGTTTACAGCACAACGTCGAAATTTGAGCCTTCAGATTCATGGGTGTTCAGTATTATCCGAATTTGAAAATTAAAATGACGACTAGTCTTTTCTCGACACTGCATTATATTGAAAAGAACTATATAGAAAAAACGGAAAATTTCTAGTTTGACGTATTTTTGAAAGAATTATGTGATTTTTGTACAGTTTTAGTACGTCTGATGACTATTTACATATTATATTCAAGATCAAAAATAAACTCCGAAAATTGCAAACCGCTCTCTTTAACAAGTTAACGAAAATATCGATCTTGCACTTTCTTATTACAAATAATGCTGTCGAACTGAATACTTGTTTAATTCTGTCGTAACAGCGTCGGAGTACTGCAACCTGTATCTGTAAAATGAGGAGTAAAGTTTTAATTGTTTTGTGTTTGTTGTCTGAAATATTTTTAAGTAAGCTTGTAGCCACAGGTAAATATCTACTCTTTATTACAAACCTTATCCACCATAAAGCAATTGTTAAAATAGATTACATTCAGCTGACGCAACATCACCGGAGCGTGATTTCGACTTGATGCATGGCGACACCTAGCACAACGACACTGGTCACACCAAAGTTCCTCAAACGTGATATACGGATGTGATATCGTCACACCTAGTTCCTCGGATGTGATATACGGACGTGATATCGTCACACCAAAATCCCCAGACGTGATATACGGACGGGATATCGTCACACCAAAATCCTCAGACGTGATATACGGATGTGATATCTCACACCAAAGTTCCTCAGACGTGATATACGGACGTGATATCGTCACACCAAAATCCTCAGACGTGATGTACAGATGTGATATCGTCACACCAAAATCCTCAGACGTGATATACAGATGTGATATCATTACTGTGTCTAGGGCAAGACATCTTATGTAAATTTTCATGGGAGTTTAACCCGATCCATTTTTTCGGTTGCTAGTTTTTAAGAATTTTCACTTTGACAAAAACCAAATTTGTCACAACTTTTGGTATCTTTACAAAGCTGAACCATTAATGCATCTATAAAAAGCATCATCACAGTTGTCAGGCAAGGTTTGGAGATGACGAGGAGTTTACTGAATTGATATATATGCCAACAAGTAGTAGCGTATTTAGGCGGTACTTTCTGGGACCTGTCCCACCCTCGCAGCATAAAAAAAGACAAAAATACGTCACTTTGACTTTAATCAGATTAATCATCCGACTTCCCACATTTCTCGTGGAGAGACCCCCTCCTTGGACCCCCACCTCCTACCACCCAATGACTAGTGCCTTCTAAGGGACACCGAACACATACTACAAAGTTTGTCTGATGTAAGCACATATTTTGTATATACATGTATATATTTTCCAGAAAGTAATTTTGTGTTTATAAACTCATCAGTGAGTTTTAATGACTCTGTAGAAGATTGTAATAATCGAAGTTTAGAATTATTAACATTGTCAACATATCGTCAGTATCGAGAAGCTCAGAAGTATTTCAACACCAATATAACGTAAGAGCAAAAAAATCTTTTCTTATTTTCTGATATTTTTCGTGTCCATTGTAATCTAACAAGCTTTGTACTACGGCCTTGTCTGCTTACACTTTTTAACCAATCAAAGCTTGTCTCAATATCGACTATGAATTGTGGTATAGCGAAACCTAATATAGAGTGTTATGAGACTGTTGTTATTCGCATGTAAAAGTGATTCTGATAGGCGGGGCAGTGTCTGCTATAAATAACTTGATGAAACATCACCAGTACGCGACCTTGGTATAAATCTCGTCAGATTACAATTGAGAACGCAAATAATAATAATAATAAAACAAATTAGCTTTTAAACCATCCGCCTGATGTTTCAATGTTAAATCTTATACGCTTTTGTTGACTTAAGAGTGAACCGAATCCCGATCCCATGGATAGGTGGAATGTAATTGAAGCCCCCCTCCCGCCTCGCCCACCCTCCCCCCCCCCCCCCCAACTCACCACTCTAATGTACTTTAAACATTCTTATTTTATTAAGTTTATATTCGTGGTTGGCATTAGAAAAAAACACAACGACTGGCAACTATCAGTGGTTAAATGGACAAGTTTTAACAGAGTTGAGATGGGAAACAGGAGAACCGAGTAACTATACTGTAGCTGATTGTGGTGTGATGAATGTATCTTCTAGACTCTGGTATACTCTACTAGATATTATCTATGTGTTGGATCAGATAGAAGTAAGTGGGAAGTCGAATTAAAATCTAGAATTTAGCCACCCAACATTCATCCGTTTGATGATACTTGGACTGGTAGGTTATTTTCATTGAAAACGGCTAATGGTGGTTCTCTTTTCAGCTTGGCAGCTCAACATGTCCGAACCAGCTAACTAGAAAAAGCTATATATTAGAAATAGAACATCAATAAGCATTGATTAATGCATAATTTTAAGCTGATACTATTCTATAAAGCCGAAACCTGTCTATAGTGTCACTGACAGTTATCAACTGTCAATCTAAAACTGAAATGAATGGAGTTTTACGTCCTACCTTTCTGCACCTTATGGGTAAATGAAAACGGACAACGTCATGCAATGTGCAATGAGGGAAGTTTTGCCAGTTTTTCGATTTCGAACTGTCTAGGGATCTTTAACATGCACAGCCTGTAACACATGGGACCTCAGTTTGACATCTCATCCGAACGACTAGACGCTTCCCCCCCCCCCCCCCCCCCCCCTGCATAACCGGCAGGGGGAAAGGGGTCTAAAGCCCGAAGGTATTATTTCAATCTATGCCGGGATTGAGCCCTGAACTCCAGGTAAGCGAGCAAGCGTCCAACTCACTGTGTCATCGTGGTTTCCAACTGTCAATCTAAAGGCAGACGACTTCCGGTAGCCATTACATAGTTACAACTTAGATCTACAGTAAGTATCTTATCCTGTCCTACCCTATCAGTTGTCTGCTTTTATTTCAGGTTATTATATAGGTAGCGCTAGTGTTGATTTCTATACAGCAGGTATTAACTGTCAATCTGAAGGCACACGACTTCCAGTAGCCATCACAAATCTCGACACAAACAGGTTGAATGAAATCATTGACGTTACATCGATGTGAGTATAGTTGTAATCTATACAAATCGCTGCATTCCATGATACCACAATCGTGACTTTTGGAGTCAAGGTATAAAACGGAGTTCGTAATAGCTGGTCATTGTGAAGATGCGCCTCATAGTTACTATAATGACTTGTAGTGAGTCACGGCCGCGGCACTTACAAATCTATTATTACAGGAATACGTACTTCTTATTTTCTTTAAGATCGAGCGATATCTGGCTGGGTTTAATCAGATCTGGAACACAACCTGGTGATTACTATAACTGGGTAACAGGAGAACACCTTACACCACCTTTCACATGGGCAGTTAGCACCCGATATCCCAGTGTTCACTACCATCACAGCGGCAGTTTAAAGGGGTTTCACAGTAGTACATGGCAAGTACCAGGATATGTTTGCCAACCAAAAACTATAGTTCCTATAGTAATTAAAGGTAACGCAAGTTACATAATGTCTAGGTTTCAATTTTTCACCCAAAATCAATTGAGCCGAAATGTGCAACTTGACCTTTATCTGAAGGATTATATGAAACTGCTCCGTTGCACTATTAATAATTTAAAAAAAAATAGCACAGGAAGTGACGAGAAACTTTCAAAGAAAGGTCTGAAATGTCTGACACCAGAAGCCTCTATCCAAATATAACTTTCCTTGATCTCGTTTTATTTGATGAGAAAGTAGTTTTCCACGACCCTTTCATCATCCCCGCCAGTAACTCAGGACTCTCTCAGAAATGCTTACCTAAACAGTTTTATAGATAAAGGGAAATAACTTCATACTTTTCATTAATTTTTCACTTCAACTGTGGTCCGTAGTATATATAAATTTGTTGGTAAAGGGAGATAACTCCAGTTTATACTTTATTTTATACATCTTTAGCTCCAGCTGTGGTCCGTAGTCCAGATAAGTTTGTGTTGGCGTCCAACAATGCGATAGTATCAGATCCCCCACGAAGAGCCACAACTATCAACTCTGTAAGAAGATTTCAGTGTGCTCTAGAGTGTTTACAAGATACTGATTGTATACAGTATACTATTCAAGGTTATCTGTGTAGGACATTTGGTGAAAGTCTGGTCATCACCGACTATAGTCGAGGACACATGTTATGGCAGAGAAAAATTATATCGTAACTCAGAACTAATGAAATTTAAACTGTTTAAGATTGTTGGAGCACGACAGGGCATCAAGATATTTACTTGTATAAAAAAACAATTAATTAACTAACTTCAATATCAATATTGTGATAATATAGGACTGTCATGAGAATATATTTCGACCCCCCCACCCCCCAAAAGGGCGTATACCCTTGGTATGTGTGTATGTTTCAATTCAACCCAAATATAGTACTATCCATTACTATTACTACTTACATTCAAAATATCGTTGGGTCCTTTACAAGCTAGCTTCGTTTCAACCAATACATGTCTGGTCGATTTTGACATGGATTTAAAAAGAAGTGTACATTATTTTAGTTTTAGGAGAAATATTTATTTATATCCAATCGATTTCAAACCTTTTGTAATTTAAATAGAGAAATAATATTTACTTTAAACATATAAGACTATTATCATTAATAATTACAAAGTATACCAAACTTTCGTTCCGAATTTACAGCCTTTTAATTTTACAGCCACTTCAGTTAGGGTCTAAAGACTGGCTTCTTAAACATTCGACAAAATAACCTTTTGACCTAATCTGACGACATCTGCTTTGATCAATCAAATTCCTCTACGCTCTCATGTCAGCTTACGAAAGGGTGGAAATTTGATTGGTTAAGCAGAGTAAGATCAAAAGGTTGACTTTGCTGAATGTTTAAGAGGCCAGTCTTTAGGCCCTAACTGAAGTGGCTACATTAGAAATAAAGGCCAATAAAAAGAAAGCAACGAAAGTTTTCTCCAATTTTAATTAGACTCGTGTAGGTTACGACCAATGTTGTGTCCGTTTTGATCACAAGTTAGGTTCGTTTCAACCTATAAATGTTTGGTCGAATCTAATGTAGGTTTGTTTTAAAAAATACGTGTACCAATTTTAGTTGAAATCGATTTTAAAAAAATTTGTAGTTTTAATTGTGAAATAATATTTACTTAAAACTTTATTCAGTCCAAATGGAAACAGAAAAAATAACAGTCAAAGAACGAAACGGAAGCGCACGATTTTAAATACAATGAAATTTTCGATTTCAGAATTCCATGATATCAACATGGTACCAGTGGAAACCTATTCTACATGTTATCTTATTCTGTGGGAAATTTGTAATATATTTAAGTGATATGGCCCTCGAAATCTTCTTGTTTAAAGAAGTAGACTTTTCGATCCATATTTCCCTTTTCAGCAATTTTTCATCCCTCTCCCCCTCACACCCTGGGAAATTATTATAGAACCAAATGCCAGTATGAAATGTGCTGAAAGGCATTGTAAAAGGGTTTTCTAAACTGCATAGATATCAATAGCAGCTTCCGGTAGCTCCCCTCTAGTGACGTCATAAAACGCGTTAGTTTTAGTGGAATCACAAGAACCATAGACGTCTGATTGAAAATTTGAATGGGGCAAATTGAATCTATCAGTGTCCCCAATACACATAAAAAAGTTTAGACAACCTCTAGACATTCCCTTTAACCAAGATTGGAAATGAATATACACGAAAGTTTTACTACCATCTTTTCGACTTCTCACTGGGTTCGAAGAGAATGAGGACTTCGTACAGTGAGCAATGGGGGAAATTATTCATGTAAAAATACAAATTTATCAATTCCCTCAGAGGAAATCTTGTCATGTATGATAACAAAAGAAAGTCAGTCGCCTCTATATTTGATAAAGCATTGCAAGAAAACCCCAGATAAGTGGCGGCGTCAGCCTTAATACGGGGACAACTCAGATTGAAAATGCGACATCTCTGTGGAATGTATAGGTGCGTGCAAGTCTTCCATGGAGAGTCTAAGAGGGGATTTCCACGAGAAAAATAGAACTGATTTGGTTCCGACAAATATGTGGGACAAAAAGATATAATTTTTTTTTTAATTTTTAATAGTAAAGTGAGGCTACAATTGGGGGTATAAACCATTTTTCTAGGAGAGGAGGGGAAAGGAGGAGGAGGCACAATGTACACTCATTAGCACAGTCACTGATAAGAACCTTTGAAGACTGTATACCTTCATAAAGAAAATAATTTCCATATCGCAATGATTGGTTTGTTTAATACATACATATTTTGATATCTACATTAACTCGAAGGGAAAAATAATTCATTATCTACCAATATACCCACAGAAAGAGGAAAGATTTAACCAACTCGACAGCAGATATTAACTGTAGCTCACAGACAGATTCTAACATGAAGTTTGAGATTGTGATATTTATGGTTGTATTTCCTGGATATCTTCAAGCGGGTAAATATAGAATAGAAATAGAATAGAATAGAATAGAGAATAGAATAGAATAGAATAGAATAGAACGGAACGGAATGGAATATAACAGAATCTATTAATAGAATAGAATAGAATAGAATAGAATAGAATAGAATAGAATAGAATAGAATAGAATAGAATAGAATAGAATAGAATAGAATAGAATAGAATAATTTCGGGTTGATACATGTATATATATCAGAAAATAACTTTCTTCATTTAGGCTCAGGTGAAAGCAACAGAAAGAGTTTTAATGAAGCTGTAGAAGATTGTAATAATCAAGGTTTAGAATTATTAACATTGTCAACATATCGGCAGTATCTAGATGTTAAGCAGTATTTAAATGCTTACTCAGTGTAAGTATTGCTTAAATGATCAAGATAAGGCGGTCAGCCATTTCTAAAATCCAAAATGGATGCTCCTAATTACAGAGAAATGTCCTAGGAAAGTTGATGTGTTCAGAAGTCTTTGAAAATTGTCTACACGATGCTCATAATTGTTTATAGTGGCAGCGGTGAGCGTTCGGGACGAATCTTTAACATGTCATAATGTTCTTTTGAGTTTTACTTTAATATTGCACACAAAAGACGTGTAATGTGTTTTTTTCTTCTTCTAAAGGGATGATTCATGGTTGGCATTAGAAAAAAACACAACGACTGGTAACTATCAGTGGTTAAATGGACGAGTTCTAACAGAGTTGAGATGGGGAACAGGAGAACCTAGGAACTATACTGTAGCTGATTGTGGTGTGATGAATGTATCTTCTAGACTCTGGTATACTCTACCCTGTACAGACAGTAGATATTATCTTTGTGTTGGATCAGATGGTAGAAAGCTCTTTTTATTTATTAAACCCAAATAACAGCTTAGCCTAATCTGGTCGTTTCACGTTTTCATTGATCGTTTCCTGATCGTTTTTGGTCGTTTTAGTAAGTACGCCCCGCCCCTCCAACTAAACATGGAACGAAACATATCTGGTATAAATTGGTTTTGTTTCGTATCTCTTAGGTTATTCTGTCGGTAGCATTAGTGTTGATTTCTACACAGCAGTTCTTAACTGTCAATCTGAAGGCAGACGACTTCCGGTAGCCATTACTAATCTCGATACAAAGTGGTTGAATAATGTTATTACCAATGCTGGAATGTGAGTATATTATCATCTTGGAATTTTAGAAATCGCCAAAGGTTGACGGAATACAGTTTGTTGGGGGAATTCTAAAGAAAGTAATATAGCTATTTAGCTATCTAGCGTAATTAAACTAAATTCGATATTTTGGAAGTGATCGGGGTGATAACTTTCTTGCAACCCTTGTCAGCCATGCGGTCGACATGGCTTGTCGTTCGAATTAAAAACAAACAATGCGTATAGTTCCTGCCTTCATAAGTGAGGGGACTTCAAACTGTATGTCATTTATTCCCCTTCAATTATTTACTGTTTATTTTCTTTAAGATATGGCGACATCTGGCTGGGTTTAATAGAATACGGAACACAATATGGCGATTACTATAGATGGGTAACAGGAGAACACCTTACACCACCTTACCACTGGTGGACAAATAGTGGCCGATATGCCAGGGTTCACTACCATCACGGTGGAGGTGAAGGGTTTCACATTAGTTCCGCTAGCCAGAGAGAATTTATTTGTATGCCGAAATCTACAGAAACTGCTGGTAAGTGGAGATTTATAGGTATATCAGATCAATGTGATGCTATTTGTCAAAGATCCCCCCATTGCCCACTGCTTTTGTTCGTCTTTATGAGTTCAGTGTGTCAGAATTTCTAAAGGATTAGCCTAGTCTATTTCTGTTGTCTCCTATGCATATGATTACTCATTAGGCTGCATAGTTTTGGCCCGTCCGTCTGATTTCGTGGCATGTACCTGAAAAACGCCAATACGATGTTGCGAAGGTTGTACACGTATTTTTTCTCATTATCAACTATGATTCTTGATCAACGGATAGGACTCGTGCTGATATAATTATTTTATTTCAGCTAAAGGGACATAACTCCATTTTGTACTTCCAATTTAAACTTCAGCTGTGGTCCGTATCTCCAATAACATTGTTGTGAAGGGATACAACTCCATTTTATACTTCCATTTAAAACTTCAGCTGTGGTCCGTATCCGCAATAAATGTGTTGTAAAGGGACATAACTCCAGTTTATACATCCATTTTACACTTCAGCTGTGGGCCGTAGTCTAGATAAGTTTATGCTGGTGTCCTATACTGCAGTTGTACTGAATTCCATCAGGAAAACAACAACCATCAACACTTTAAGACGATTTCAGTGTGCTCTAAAGTGTCTACAAGATACTGGTTGTATACAGTATACTATTCAAGGTTATCTGTGTAGAACATTTGGTGAAAGTCTGGTCATCACCGACAATAGTCGAGGACACATGTTGTGGCAAAAAAAAGTTATATCTTAATTTATCAGACCGAATCAAACCCTTTAAAAGCCTTTGAACTGGATACAAAATAAATTTTTGATTTTATTTAAAGTTGCTGTTAATTATAGTCGTCTTAATATTTCTTTACCAGCTGATAGGGCTCCCATTACTGCCTGTGTCATTAAGTGCACAAATCCGTGACAATCTTCATTGTATTCAGATAGTGAATTTACTGACCGCATATCCGTTCAATGTTACCATCTTCATGATATCGGGATATTCAAATTTACTAACCGGATGTCCGCTCAAGGTTACATCTCGATTTTTTAGGGATTAAAAAATTTAACTAATCGGATATCCGTTCAAGATCATGTTAATGATACCCGGATGTTCAAAATTACTTTTCGGATATCCGTTCTATATTACCATCTTCATGATATCGGGATATTCAAATTTACTAACCGGATATTCGTTCAAGGTTATGATATTAATAACATTTGAACTGTTAAATAAAATTGTTTATTTTCGCACAAACTTCAATGGAGGGTGGTATTAATTACAGGTGTTTCTAAATTCAAAAAGCAGCAATAGAAATAGACGAATACCTCCTTTCACGGCACTTTAAGGTCGGATATCAAGCTTTTATAAAACTGTCCGAGTATTGTTTAACAACATTTTTTGATATTTAGTCACTGTTTTGTCCGCCATTGTTTCTGGAAAACAATCTTTCAAACCTTCTGGGCACTTTCCATAGTGATGTATGGTAGCTAGTGATGGTTCTACATACTGCCTATAAGATAAATAAAATGTATATAATTTGTGATCTCTATGAAATTTATTCCGAGTACAGAAAAAATTGAAAACCCCCAAGAGGGATTTCGTTTCCACTACTTCCTGTAGCAAAGTTTTTGATCCATTATGCGATGTGTTACCACTACAACTACTTTACTTGGGTAAATTGATGAAATGAAAATTCCCAAATCCAGTTTCCACTGTCAAGGTCGCTCTCAAAACTTCAAAACAAGTTGGTTTAAAATTAAGATCGGAAGTGGCAGTTTGGGTATTAAACTGTTCCCAGAAACTGCTTTAAAAATCATGTTTTTACTCGAAAATCGCGATATCTTGCCTTCTTTGAAACGAAATCTCTTTGATACTTTACCCTGTTCAGAACTGAGATATCTTGGCCACCCACGACTCTGTCAATAACTATTCTTGTTTATCAGATGATGAAGGTACCAGCGTAATGAAAACAGAAAATAGTTATGATATCATAGAAGACTTACTCATGGAAAGGTGAAATATTTTTGAATCTGTCATCAGGTGGTGACTGAGATCTACTAGGTATATAAATATATTTCAAAAATTGTGATGTTGGTTTCGTTGATTTCAGATATTGCTGAAAATAACTGTCAGGAACTTCAAGATCATTTCCCCATTCTTCTACATGATATTGGACTTGGAAATAGAACCCACCAGCCTGTGGGTGCGATTCAGATAAATTCTGAAAGAAAAATCAGTTATTTTAATTTTTGTATTTTTACATCAGTGAACTTGATAAACAAGACTAATGCTCCTCAGGATATATTTTTTGTTCGCGTCACAAAATCCCAACGTTGGAGAAGGAAGAAATGTGATTGGCTGGCGAAATCAGACGAAAGTTATATAGAGAAGTTGTTAGACTTGTCATTTCTTGAGTTAGTGAAATAACTAGTTTGGGATATTTTTGAAGGAATTATGCGATTATCGTACATTTCTAGTAGTTCTGGAGACTATTTACATATCTTCAAAACCCAAATTCTAAAATGGCGAATCTGTCCCTTTAAACTTGTTATTATTGCGCACACTCACCTTAAGAAGATCTTTAACAGTTAAATGCTGTCGAGGAAGTAGAATATCTTCTATATTGGAAACTAGAATATATTGGTACCCCGATAGTCTCTCGTGACAGTCCATTACAGTGATCTCTTCATCATGATAAAACTGGGGATACACTCGATTGTTTGCTGTGTATCCACGTTCTGGATTACCTATAAAACAAGGAAATGATTGTTAAGTAAAGTCACCACTTAGAATGAACAGATAAATTTAAGTTATAAAACTTTGCCAATAAGAGTATGTTATATTCATCAATGGACTTAATTGATATATAACTATACAACAAAACAAGTGTAACTATTCAAAAATAGTTTAAATTGCCTTTTTAAATAATTACTTAAAATCTTTGGTCAGAGATTTTTCCAGTGCACTTTATTTTGTTATTATCAATTCTTAATTTCAT